CTCTCTCTCTCTCTCCCATCCTCAGTCTGTCTCCCGGCCTCTTTCTCTCTCTTTTTGAGGATAAAGGGATTAACATGAGCATTCCTGCCAGATAATAAGAGAGGACAAAGCTGGTCACATGACCCTTCCAAAAGTTTCCACTACCCTGCTGTAAACATCACCAAACACACACACACACACACACACACGCACACACTTATGTCTTATCAAACAGCTTTCACAAAACGCTCATCAGGAATTTTTCAATTACAGCTTGAACAATGAGAGTTTTGGCTCTACAAGGTATACCCATCAAAAACACAAAGGCACATAGGCTGGCAGCCTATGGACAGACAACACTACAGTCTATATTGGATTCACTTCATTTGACACAAGCCTAGTTCTCAGGATTCAATTCCCTGTCTTCCCTTATGAAAAAAAACTGAGGTTCACTCATCTATTTCACTTGGTGTATGTTCTTTATGATGCATGCTGCATACTTCATCCATTTGCGCAATATTCTACGGGGCTTATGTAGCGGCTTTCTCTATTCTTTATTATGCACCCTTTGCTGGTTAAGTGTTACTTACCAGTCTACTAGAAACTGAATAGAAGGACAAGAAATCTAAGCCATTGCTTCCTACGCAAGCCTTCTTCCTTAAGATTCAGTATTATTAAACAATAATAAAATAAATAGGATCTGAATCTCTCTATTTCAAATTTTGGACACACAGCTACGGTGTGTGTGTGTGTGCGAGAGAGTACGTGAGTGAGTGTCATATAGTTTTAGGCAGCCATGTGTTGTATGATAACACTGTGTTGGCAATGGTTGTGAATAGTAGATAACTGAGGGTCTGCTGGTCACCAAGGTCTGCTGGAATATGTATTTCCAATGAATTGGTTAGACATTGAGGTGATGTTGATTATAATATCGCTCTCTAGCAGCTTGTCTATGATTGCAGCCTTGTTTCCAGGACCTTTGTTGTATATTTGCATTGTAAAGTTAAAGTTGTTTTTCCTCATGCATGAGTAGAGCTTATCTGTTTAACACTCTTCCAGATCTTCTAGCTGTCCCAGAGAAGCCAACTCATTTTATCTTGTCCACAATCTTTAATGGTAAACATTAGAAAGGGAAGCAGCACTCTATCCACTCTCTGGGCTCTATCTTACACCTTGCGAAAAGCAGTGCGCAGACCAAGTGTCATTGCTGGTTTCCAGCAGACGCAGTTGTCATTTTCAAATGTACAAGTAGCAAATGTACTGGGTGTGTTCGTCTTAAAATGAGGTGTGGTCAGGCACATTGTTGGCGCACTGCTATCTTGAACCAGTAGAAAGGAATTGCGCCATTGACCAACAAAAAAATCTGGTCTAAAGTCAATGGCACAGTATTTTTCTGCTATTTATAGGGCACATTATTCAGATAGATGCACCTACATGGGCAGGTTCA